GCTGATCACCTGGACGTACCTGCAGAAATGTCAGAAAAGACATCTGAGCGAGTAAACATTCTGAATACCCCAAATTGATATTGCCGGTTTCTGAAGACCTCAATTCTGAAGTCATTCTGAAGACATTCTGAGAAGTTTGCCAGCGCCATTCTGAATACCCCAAATTGAGATTACCAGTTTCTGAAGACCCCTATTCTGAAGTCATTCTGAAAACACTTGAGAAGTTTGCCAGTGCAAGAGTGCATCCAATTCGTGGTGAAAGATGATGAGAGGACAACCAGCTTCGACTGGGTATGTGTGTGTATCCCGGTAGTAATTCTGCCAAAGCGCTGCCGGACTCCCGGTCTGCGGGGAAATGATGAATAAACCCTGACTTCCCTTGATCTTCACCCTTGACAGTGGACTTCTAGTCTACTTCTTATGATGAACACGCCCCACTGATGAATACACCCAGCTGCTGAGATGTGAATGCACCCAACTGATGAAGACATCCGAATGATGAATACCTTCTCTGAAGAGCTACACTACACTGAAGAGTTATCCTGAATACACCCGATGACAGACACATCTGACGATCTAGATTCGTGAAGTCCACTGAATACTTTCTGAATACTCCCGAGCACCCTTGAATGGCCTGTAACTACTATGTACCTATTGCAGAGGCGGTGTGTCGACCTTCGGAATCAGGCCATCCGAAAGAGCTCCGGCGCACAGTAGGGTGATGTGATGCTATTGAGCCTTGAGATCCTAAAATCCTGAAAAGCCCTCATCAGACCCCTGTCAAATGACTTACCCAAACTTCTGAAGACATCCAGTGACCTTGAATCTACCCCGTACGCTGAACATACCCAAGAAACGGCCGTGGACGTGAATACACCCACCACGCTGAATTAACCCAAGAAGAGGCTGCTGATGATCAGTACCTTTGTTGTAATGTTGCAGCTGTTTCACGTTTTGTCGTCGTCGTCGTTTTGTTGATTGAATGTTACTGACCCCAAATACCCTGA